GTCAGACACTTAGCATATTAGCCTTTTATATATAATAGCAGGTGTGGTGGGAGGATAGTCTACAAAGTCTATTGGTAAGTAATTGGCCAAATTATAGCATTGATACTTTGAAACATTGTACTTTATACCTAAGGAAGAAGAAAATAGCTCTCTTTATGAACTAATGGGTACACATTTAGAATAAAAGGAACTTTTAGAACAAACAGAACATACCATTTGTAGATTTAAAGGAAAACATGCAAAACATTTTATTGTGGGTTTGAATATCTAAGTGTATAGAAAAATAATGGGGTGATTATGTTCCAAATAAGTAATCGTATTCCACTCTAGGGAGTGAGACCAGGATTGAGAGATTGTTCAAAGAGGCCTCTTAAAAATATTTTTTCCCTCTTATAGAATGTATTACTGTTAAGAAATAAAACACGTAAGAAAGAGTTGCTGTCATTTCAGAGAGCTGTCATTTCTTATCTTCAGTCCCTGACAGATATTTTGATACTTAAATTTTATTTCTCTATCAGGTATTTTAAACAAAATGTCCAATATTTAAAACTCTTGGTTACCTTTTTGATGGTATGGCTATCATTGATTAGGAGCCTAAGGTTAAGGCAGGGTCTTAGTGGCAGGAACTGGGATTAGAACCTGGATCTTGAGGGCTACACGACCGTGATCCTCTGAAGAGCATGTTTAAGAAGAGAGCCGCTACATAGAGGAATACCAACCACATTGTTTGTGATGTAAAGATTGTGTTTACATTTTAGTTCTCCTGAAGGTATCTGAGCAAGAGCAGTGGGGTGGTCCTAGAAGTAGCACAGCGCTGGCTGGCTATGGACGGACCTGCTCGTGGGGGAGTGAACAGGCCCCCCCCCCCAGTGATCAGAACAGCAGGTAGACCTGATCTGCGGGAGGTGCTCAACCTGAAGCCAGAGGATGGGAAGGCTGCTCCCCAGGGAGTCTCGGGGGAAAGCTGGCCTCTTCATTCGGGATCTGTTATGTGTGTGTTTTGGATTCTAACTGAATGTCCTCAAGTCTTCGACATCTGCTGACTGGAACATAAAAGCTGACCTGACGCCGAAACCGGTTTGGCTCAATGGATAGAGCGTCGGCTTGGGGACTGGAGGACCCGGGTTCGATTCCGGTCAAGGGCATGTACCTTGGTTGCGGGCATATCCCCAGTGGGGGATGTGCAGGAGGCAGCTGGTCGATGACTCTCTCTCATCGATGTTTCTAGCTCTCTATCTCTCTCCCTTCCTCTCTGTACAAAATCAATAAAATATATTAAAAAAAATAAAAAATAAAAAATAAAAAAATAAAAGCTGACCTGATTACATTTTATACCTTCTACTGGAGTGTTTATATCTATATCATACCAAGTCATGACAGAAGAAACCTAGTCCTTGAGAGTCAGCTGATGTGGAAGGTCTTTTACTGTGGGGATGGGATAGATTCTGGCAGACCTTCTGGTGTTACTGTAAACACAGCTTTTCTCTAGTGCTCACTGGTATGAATAATGGACCTTGTTCTTGGCTTTTTGAGAACATGGCAGAGTTGAAATCGGGTCAGAGTTTGCTTTTTGAGTTGATAGGTAATTATCCATACTTAATTCAGGGTTCCTCTCTTCACTCTTTTTTTTTTTTTTTTTAAATATATTTTATTTGATTTTGTACAGAGAGGAAGGGAGAGAGATAGTTAGAAACATCGATGAGAGAGTGTCATCGACCAGCTGCCTCTTGCACACCCCCTACTGGGGATATGCCCGCAACCAAGGTACATGCCCTTGACTGGAATCGAACCAGGGTCCTCCAGTCCCCAAGCCGATGCTCTATCCATTGAGCCAAACCGGTTTCGGCTCCTCTCTTCCCTCTTGCTAAGAGGACACTAGTTCTTTGGAACTTGACTCATATAATAAGGTGTCTGGTTTCCTTTCAGACTTTGTGCTGAGCCCTGTGTCACCCACTGCGAACCAGGGCAGCCCTCCACTCTGCATCGGGAGCCTGGAGGAGGACTCTCCCTTCCCTTCGTTTGCCCAGGTAAACCCTGTGCTTGGGAAGCATCCAAGGACATTGAACCGAACTCCACTGCTTGCTCTTTCTGGAAATATCTGTTAGAGAAGAAGGGGCTTGCAGACTAATGTGACACTGATCCTAATAATCACAGAAGGCGTTCTTAAGAGGGAAGCTCATAGATTTAGTCCCAGATATTCTCGTAGATGTACCAGAGTAGCTAGGAGTAGTTGAGGGCGAATCAGTGCTCTCATTATTCAGCAAATTATTAGATTTATTCCTCCCCCCTTCCCACTTTGGCAGATGCTGAGAGTTGGAAAAGCAAAAGCAGATGTGTGGCCCAAAACTATCCCAAAGAAAGGTGAGGATGGCCTTCCTGGTGAAGGTGGGTTTTGCCCTTTTTAGAGGATAAGAGTCTCTAGAGTTGTTTCTAGAATTTTAACACTGTTTGTTTTTTTAGATGAAAACAGCTTGGTCCCTCCTGCCACCATGGACAGTGACGGGGAGAGTGATAACTCAGACCGTGTTCCTGTGCCCAGTTTCCAAAATTCTTTCAGCCAAGCTATTGAAGCAGCCTTCATGAAACTGGACACACCTGCTACACCCGATGCCCTCTCTGGTAAAGGCGGGGGGAATGCTCAGCACAGGACAGTCCTTCCCGCCCGGGTCCGGTGGCAGATGGCACTAATCGGCCGGGCACTTTTCCCTGAGCTCTAGGCTCATCTGCTAGTGTCAGCTAACATTTCATCGGTGTCACATGGGACCTTTCTGCCACCTCAGGTTAATTCTCCAGGCCTGGAGGAAGGAACTTTTATTTCTGCTTCCAAAACAGCAGTGGAAAGTAGATGTTGGAATCCTGAGTTGGTAAAGGGGGGCTCATTGGTGCAGAAATTGGGCTCGAAGCCCACCAACTCTGACGTTCATGGTTAGAGAGTGACATTAATGGTGTGCTTCCTGTGTGCCTGGCATGGTGTAGACTTTACTCTCCCATTAACCCTGTTAGAAGGTGTAACTGCTGCAGCTGAAGAAACAGTTTCAGGGAGATAAAGTGACTTGTCCAAAAACAAAGCGTATCCAAGTACCAGTATTCCAAAACAGCCATTCTGATTCCAGAACCTGTACTCTTAGCTGCCATTGTCACTCTCAGTAATGAAAACTGGCTGGGGGATGTGGGGTGGCATTCTTAACTAAGTTCTCTTTCTGTTTCTGTTTAGAAGAGAGAGGAGGAAAGAAAAGAAAAAAGCAGAAGCAGAAACTCCTGTTCAGCACCTCCGTCGTCCACACCAAGTGACACTACTGGCCCAGGCTACCTTCTCCATCTGGTTTCTTTTCTCCACGCTTTCGTTTTGCTGCTGTAATTTTTATGTATCTGAGTTTGAACAGATTAGTTCTGGGGGGAGGGGGTTTCCAGAATATGAGGGGGAACCAAGATTTTAAATACAGTGTATTTTCCAGCTTCCCTCTTTACACCAAAATAAAGTATTGACACTCATAAGAGATCTCTTCCTGCCAAGGTTTTTAGTTTGTTACAGGTTAGTCTTTTTGACCATGTGTGATTAGTTTTTCTCAACCTTAAATAAACGAGTCCCTTCAACATCCCCTGGAAAAGCAGCCCAGACCAGAGTGTTAAACTGCACTGCTGTGCTCTGATGTCATGTGCCGGGCATCCTGGTTTCAGCACCTTTCAGCGAGGCTTTTAAAAGTAGTTGAATCTTTTCTGTCTGTTCAGTCCTCTAAAGAAACAGGGATGGAATAAAATGGATTTAGAATACTCAGCTCGAATTGCAGTTTTTTGTTTGACATGGCCAGGCTGTGGGGCCAGACCTAGGCTGCACCTGCATGTATGATGGAGGGTTTTACCTCTTCCACGTGGCTTGTTTGGCAAGGAAAGATGGACCTTCTGCCAACCTTTAAACCAAACTTGTTTCAAGTGACAGGAGCAGGAGACCAGCACCTGGAGGTGGAGGACAGGTTTGGAAGCAGCAGGGCTGCCCACTCCCTCTATTGTCTAGAGTAGTCTTATGCCTTGGTTTGAGCTAAATTGGAGTGATGAATTCTTTTGCTGCTTAATAAAGTAACCTCTAGGTCTAATAGAATGTGAAGGCAAACAGTTGCAATAAATTACCTGCACAAGCAATGTGAACTTTGTTTTATTTTTTTAATTCATTGAGTTTTTCGAGGGGAAAAAAGAAACATTGATTTTTGTTCCCCTTATTTATGCATTCATTGGTTTTTTTGTATGTTCCCTGACTGGAGATCGAGCCTGCAACCGGCGTAATCGGGACGATGCTCTAACCAACAGCTGCCTGGACGGTAGCTTTTTGTTTTGTAAGTTCAGTTCAGGTCAGCTAGACACACTTATTATAAGGAGGTTAAAGTATCAGCTAGTATGACTGTGAGCTGGGAGTAGCTATAACCTGTCATTCTTTTTTAAAAAATATATTTTATTGATTTTTTACAGAGAAGAAGGGAGATAGAGAGCTAGAAACGTCAATGAGAGAGAAACATCAACCAGTTGCCTCTTACACACCCCCTACCGGGGATGTGCCTGCAACCCAGGTACATGCCTTTGACCGGAATCGAACCAGGGACCTTTCAGTCCGCAGACCAACGCTCTACCACTGAGCCAAACCGGTTTCGGCGTATAACCTGTCATTCTTTTTTTAAAAAAATATATTTTATTGATTTTGTACAGAGAGGAAGGGAGAGAGATAGAGAGTTAGAAACATCGATGAGAGAGAACCTGTCATTCTTAACCGAAAGCCATTCAGAGATCCAGGGTCAGGAACTCTGGGGGGATTAGAGTTCCAGCCTGACATGAAAGGAGTTTTTTGTGGCAAAAGCCACAAATCTATCAGATGTGTCAGGGCTTTAAGCAACATCCATTCTATGATGGAGAAAGGAGATCCTGGGAATGTAGAAGATCCAGCGCCTCCCAGAATGCCCTGTTCCTACAAGTGGGCCTGAGGCTTGGGCACCCTGCAGCCAGCCGGCAGAGGTTCACTCCATTGCTTCAGCAGCCTCCTCGCTGCCATCGGAAAGCTCCTCCTCGCCCGGTTCCTCCTCCAGCAAGCAGCTTCTTGTGACAGACTTCTGGATGGCTTCCCGCTCCCCTGGGGGAAGGCAGGCACATGGGGAGGTTTTTGACAGCTGGAGGCCAGTACCTGCTCAGTTCGCACTGGGTTAGGGTTGCTTACCTTCATCAGTGCAGTTCTGCAACAAGATCAGCAGCTGTCTCCGGTTGTACTGAATCAGGAACTTCTGGCATGTTCTAATGGTACCTGGCACAGGAAAGAGCCCTGTGGTGAAAGGCGTCTTCCTCGACTTTCAGAGCCAGGGGAAAGCATCCTGCTCTTGGCAGGGTAGGGAGACCACCCACCAGACACCACTGAACTCTGAGCCTGACACCCACTGAAAAGCAGCCGTACCTCCCACGTGCAAGGTGTTGAGAAAACACGGGTAACGGTGTCCTTTGTTCTCCAAGTGTGTGATGAAGGGAAGAGCCGACCACACAAGCTGGTAGAACTCCTTTCGGCATCGTAGTAGCACTATTCCAGTATATGCGTTGAGGTATCGCACTACAGCAGGCAAAAAAATTTGGGGAAACTGGATTCTCAGCAGCAAGTCAAAGGTCTTAGGGTAACTAAGCCTACGAAGTGCCAACAGCAGTGGCATTTGGGACACAATGAGTAAAAACAGATTCCTGAAGGAAAGAGATTGTCATTTATGGAAGGGGGAGAGGGAATAGACAATGGCCAGTGCCTTGCACATCACTCAACTGATGAATTTAGAATTTTAATGTTCTTCTCATTCACTGACATTTAATATAATACGTTGGGGGTGGGGAGATGGAGATCCAAACCCTTGGTTCAAGAAAGGCTCTAAAGCTAGGCTCTGTGGCCAGCCCAGTCTCACCTGATGTAGCATTATGCCTATCTTCTATCTATATAAGGCCCTAATATGGAAATAGACAGCGGAACAACCAAATAACTGGTCTCCGATGTGCACTGACCACCAGGGGTACATGTGGAACATGGTGTTGGCTGTGGCGGGATGGTGGAGCAGTTGAGCGAGGATGCCAGACCAAGGTGGGGTGCTAGTCATCAGCGTGAGCCTCTAGTGGTTAATGAAAATTTTTTGCTCCCACACAATGTGGTCCTGCCCGGCTGCCGGCACCATCAGCAGGTGTGAGCATCGGCTGCCAGACCTGATCATTAAGGGGCTTTTTCACTCCCCCTGCTCCTGAGGGTAGATGGGGCAGCAGTTGCCGCTGGCACTCACTGATGGTGCTGGCCCTGCGTGCATCTGCTGCTGGTGCCAGCCCCAATTGCTCCACGCCCTCAGTGGGTGCGAGTGGGGCCAGCGCTATGTGTGTGGGAGCAGTGGCAGGCAGGACCAGGGTCACCCGTGCCCACCGCAGCCTCACCGTCCACGGTTCCTTTCAAGGGGCATGAATTCATGCACTGGGCCCCTAGTGTGCATATACCGTTTTCCCAAAAATAAGACAGTGTCTTATATTAATTTTTGCTCCCAAAGATGCACTAGGTCTTATTTTCAGGGGATGTCTTATTTTTCCATGAAGAAGAATACAGTACACATTTATTGTTACATGAAAATAAAGGAAATTTATTACCTGTATATGGTACGGTAGTACGGCAGTTGTCAACACAAACCAGACAAACTGTGAATCCTACCGTATCAAGAACTTATTTATTCAATGACAATCATGTCATCTTCTAGAACATCATCATAATTCAATTCCTGAATTTCCTGGTGAATTTCTTGTGACTCCATTTCTTTCAGAATCAGTGGACCAAATCTCTCATGTTTAGCCTAGGGGGGGCCTTATTTTTTTGGGGATGACTTATATTTCACTCAGAAGGAAACCTGTAAGGTCTTATTTTCAGAGGATGTCTTATTTTCGGGGAAACACGGTAGTTCCCCAGGATCCCATTTTGAGCATATAGTAAAGGAACAAATTTAGATTTGTGTGGCTGCTGGGAAGGCACCTCTTCTTCCTCATTTACATGCACATAATCGTGTTCTGTACTTTACAGGCCCTATTGAGAACTTTGCAGGGTTAATTCTTTTTTCCATGTGATATTAATGTAACCAGTCACCTAACTTCACAGGAGCTATACACATGTCCCTTCACTTAATTCTAGTCATCCTATTAAGTAGCAATCACCAATATTCACATATAAATAGATACAGGGGGTTCTTGCCCAAAGTTCCACTGCCTTCTGTCTTAGCTCTCCGCCTAACTTGTCCACACCTGGAGCTGGGAATCCCAGGCGCCTAAAAAGGACCACTTAGTGGCCCAGCCACATGGCTCCCCCGTAGAGCCTCCTATGAACCGGGAGGTCACGTCAGCCCCCAGTAGGGGGCGTGCACGACGCAGGCAGCCGGTTCTCATCACGGATGTTTCTCCCTCTCCCTCTCTGGATGAATAACAAATACATTAAAAACAAAAAACACTTCGTGCACCAGGCTTGGCAGCTCTGTGGGCTGCTAGTGCCCTTCCTCCCTCCCTCCTCCGGCCCCCAATCCCCCCAGGTTCCCGTCCCCAGCACCTTCGTACCCGCGAAGCCGATGGAGCAGGCGGCGCCACCGAAGGTCCCGTGCAGGCGGGCGACCGTGTCCCGCACGAGGCCGCCCAGCACGCGGTCATCCAGGCTCAGGCGGCAGCGGGGGTCGTCAGACACCACTTCGCAGAGCAGGTACCTGGGGGGCGACGGGAGGTGAGAGAGGCCAGGGCTGCGGGCGCCGGGCCGGAAAGAACACGGAGGGGCCAGCCACCAGCCGCCTACCTGTGTTTGAACCGCACCATGGCGACTTCCGCTCCGGCTCCCGACGCGCAAAGCTGGTGCCCGTTGGCCAATGGGAACTAACCTCCGCAGTCCTGCAGCCACTCAGAGAGGGAAGTAGGATGGAGAGGCGGGGCTATGATGCTGAGAGGCCGAGCGCAGTGTCAGTCTCCTTCAGCCCCGCCTCCGTCTGCGCCGCCGGCGCTGGCGCGCTCGGAGTTTCGCCCCAGGTGGGTGCGGGCGCAGCGCGGGGCGGGCTGGGCTGGGTGGGTGTTCGTTTCCCGCCGCGGCGCGCAGGGCCACACGGATGCAGTGCTGCGCGTGGGCCCTCCGGAGGTTACTTCCCGGTCCAGCACAACCCAGGCGTGTGCGCACCTACATATTCCCTCTAAAGCTGCAAGTGGAACTCTCGGATTTACAGGCCAGGACTGACCGGGAAATCACTTTCAGCTTGGGGCTCGGTTTGCTGTTTCCATACAGCCAAATACGTTATTATTGTTGGGGCTTTTCAACATGAGTCTCTTTTTTTGTTTGCAAAACCAATCAGTGGTGGCTATATTTTCCTTAAACATTTTTTAAATTGACTTCAGAGAGGAAGGGAGAGGGAGAGAGATATATAGAAACATCAATGATGAGAGAGATCCTGCACGCCCCACACTGGGGATTGAGCCTGCAACCCCGACGGAATCAAACCTAGGACCCTTCAGTCCCTAGACTGACGCTCTATCCACTGAGGGCATATTTCCCATTGAAAAGCACCTAAAAGCAGCAAATTAAAATAAATTATAATCCACTACTGAGAGAAAATAATTTATCAAGCGGTGTGTCTCCCTGCCCCTCCCCTCCTTCATCCCATGGGCCCCGCCCCGCCAGCGGTCCTTAAAGTGAGATTTGGGACCTCTGGGTTTTCCAAGACGCCAAGCTCAAAATTACTTTCATAGTAACAGTAAGATGTTATTTGCCTTTTTTATTCTCCCAATGGACAGTAAAATTTTCCAGAGGTTACATGACATATGCTGACGTTATCACTCTGATGGCTAATGCAATTGACTGTTAAATATTTATATTTTAATATCCATGATAAGTATTGATACAGCCCACAAAAACAAAAGCTCTTTGGGATCCTCAATAATGTGAAAATGAGACAATGAAAAAAGTTTGAGATGAGAACTGCTGCCTGTGTTATGTTTTCCTTTTATTTTTAAGGGTAGGATCATACTGCTTAGTACTCTTTTTTCCTGCTTGAATATCTTCTCGAAAACGTCTTAGTGAGGTATAACATGTATAAAATGCATATACAACTCAATGTGTTTTTACACAAGATGGACTTCACTTGTGAAGCTACCGCCCAGATTAAGGGAGCATTTCTCATGCCCAAGAAGGTTCCCAGGCCCCCTTCCCAGTCAAAATCCTACAGAAGTAGCCTCTATTCTGACTTCTATTATGAAAGACTAGAGGCCCAGTGCACGGATTTGTCTACATTAAAAGGAAATTAATTAGTAGAAATGTTTTAATATTGCTATTTGCCCTTTCTCTATAATAGAAGTGTCAACCAAATTCACAATCGACAATGACATCGAAACACACGCATGCAATTGGCACCAGCAAGAGCTTTATATGTATCATGCATGCACAAGTCAGCTTAGCCTTTTATAGATATAAAATAATCTTGCTTAATTAAACCTGCTTTCTATGTAGCTAAACTTTTTCCAGCCCAGTGAAGCTCCTCAACTTCTCTTTCAGGTAATTGTCAGCAACACAGCAGTAAATATCAGCACGAAGCAGATTATTAATCTAGATCACACAGGGAGAACAAAGGGTAAAATATGTAACTGCAGCAGTGTTTGACTATATTCTGTGCAGTGAGAAAACCTGAAGTCATTTTCAAGGTCCACAATTTCGTAGTTCTTTTCAATTGGGTCAAGTTTCTAAGTTCTAAATCTCCATTTTCTGGTTAATGAAAAGAAAATAGAATTCCACCGAGTCTCCTATTTTACTTACTCCAGGACTTCTGTGAGGATCAAATGAGATGAGGCACGGGAAAATGCTTCACAGACATTAGGTTACAGTGTGGAATGTTTGCACCTGGCTATAAAGCAAGTTGTGTTCTTGGGCTGAAGAAACTCCAAGGAGGCTAGTGGCTAGGGAGAGGAAGCCGGGCATTGCTTTGTGACATCATTGCCCAGTGTTTACAGTGACTGTTTCCAGGCTGGGCTGGGCTGTAGGCCGCATTTTCGTCATGGGGTCTCGGCAGTATTGGCTGCGATTTGGTGGGCTGTTGCTCCAGGGTGGTGGCAGAACCTGTGCCCCACTTGGGGAAGCCGAGAGTTGCTTTGAGGGTGCCAAGTCCTTGGTGCCGCTTCTCTGTAAATGGCCAGTGTGGGTCAAGGCAGCTCCTGTGCTGAGCGTCTGCCCCCTGGAGGTCAGTGTGCGACATAGTGACTGGTTAGACGGTTGGAGGAACACTTACCACATTAACCTTTTATATATATAGATTAGTTTTTCCTGTTCTTGAATTTCAGATAAATACCTGACAGCATGTTTGTGTGTGTGTGTGTGTGTGTGTGTGTGTGTGTCTGGCTCCTTTCATTCAATATAATGCCAGTAAGACTAATTTTCCTTGTTTGATTATATTTTCATGTCAAATGTTCAGCAACATTGTATTTTCAGCTGTGCAGTATTGTATTTTTTGCACGTACCTTTAAAATTTGTCAATATTCCCATGATGGATGTTTAAATTAGTTCTAGATATTCTTGTTATTCCCAGCACTTCGAAGCCCAGCCTTGTGGTTAGGTCTTTATTCTTTATCCCAGTTCCTGACTGTTAGAACTGTCGGGGCTGGCTCTGTGAGCTCCATAAAGGGAGGCAGGCTTCACAACTGATTGCTTGCAAGATGTGGAATGAGTCCTCAATGTTCCCCTCTCACTTCTCACTGCCTTAAAGGAGGGTGCGGTGGAGGAAGGGTGGCAGTAAAGGAGGCCGCAGAACAGTGGCTCTCCTCACCCAAGAACGACCTCATCGGCTAAGACGCCCCTCGCCAGCAGGGGGCGGCAGAGGCCCGCAGTGCGCGGAAGAGACGGACTCCGAGCTCCCCTTCTCCCTCCGGTGGGACCACTCCCCTCGCACTTCTCGCCCTCAACTCACTCAATCCATCACTTTACGGGACGCACTTGGGGCGCGGACCGAACGCGCACAGTGAGAAGCAGGGTTAGAATTCGCCTCCAGGTCCCTCACCTGCAGGCTGACGTCCCGCCGGGTGGATTCCTGTGGCCTCCGCGTCCTCCGGGCGGCGAGAATGCTCCGCCCCGAGGCTGGGCGCCGGGCGTCGGGCGTGAACGGGGAGGCCCGCGGGCGGCGGGACACGCCGTTTGGGACGACGCCCTCCTCCCCGCAGGCGCCCCGGGAGGAGGCTCCGCGGTCCCGGCCCCGCGCCCCGGGCCAGCCGGGCCTCCTGCGGCCCCGCGGCTCCGGCGCCGATCACACCCCGGCTAACGGGCCGCGGCCGCCTCCCCCGCCGCCCGGCCTGGAGGGCCGCCTCCTCCCGCGGCGAGATTGGGGGGCGGGGGGCGGGGTGTCCGCGGGGGCGGGGGGGGCGGGGTGTCCGCCGGGGGGGCGGGGTGTCTGCGGGGGGGCGGGGTGTCGGCGGGGGGCGGGGTGTCGGCGGGGGGCGGGGCGTCGGCGGGGCCGGAGCCGCTGTCACCCCCTCTCGCGGCGGGAGGACAGTCGGAGCGGAGGCGCCCACGGGCGCTAACCCCAGGCGGGAGGGGGCAGCAGACCCCGGGGTGGCGGTTCGGGGACCCTGTGGGGGGGACCCCAGACCGGAAATCGGGGAGGAGGGGCTCAGGGAGCTTCCTCCGAGCGCCCCCTCCTTCCCATCTGAGGCTCCCACGCGCCGTTTGTGCTTCTGGATCAGACAAACCGGAACGTACGTTCCGGCGAAGCCTGTGAACCTGCGTGAACATCAACCACAGCGTTTCCCAGACCGGAGATCCGAGCGGCCCTGCAAGGCGGCGGGGCCGCCGCTGAATCTCCCTGCGATGGAGCGGGGGCCACAGCGGCTCACACGGCCTTCTGGGGGAGGAGATCAAGACCTTAGCCCTGGCCGGTGTGGCTCAGTGTCCCCAGGTTCGACTCCCGTCAAGGGCACATGCCTGGGCTGCGGGCTCGGTCCCCAGTGGGAGGTGTGCAGGAGGCAGCAGATCAATAATTCTCATCATTGATGTTTCTATCTCTCTCTCCTTCTCCCTTCCTCTCCTATTTATTTATAAAGAAATTTATATATATATATATATATATATATATATATATATATATATATATATATATATATATATATATTTAAAAAGAGTAGCTGCCTTTGTTTTTCGTCTTTAGCCAATGGGCTGCCATTGATGAGGCTCTGACTCTGCCAGGCCCGAACGAAGCACTTACGTGTTGGACTTCGGGCAGGTCCCTGATGCTCTGTGGCTCAGAGAGGGACGTGACTTGCCCGGAATCACACAGGAGTCTCAGTCTGCGAGAGACCTTGGTCTCACCTCCAAACCCGTGCGCTTCACCCCTTGCTCTAGACCCCTTCCGGGATGTCCGGGACCTGGAAGGATATTCAAAGAGGGCAAATCCCATTGGGGTGCGATTCAGAGAGGCCTTTGGCCTCTAGGGCTTCCCTGTCAGAGCCGGGCGACGCTGCCTGGCGGACGTGCGGAGGGAAGCGGTGTCCGCTTCGGCACCGTGTTCAGCAGCCACGGCTCGTTAGGGCTCCTGCTCCTCTAATCCCATCAGCCAGTCCCTGCAAAGCCCTTACGGGGACGATCCATATAAAATCAAACCCTCTCTCTGCCTGGCCCGGGGCCCGGGGAGCGAGCGGCCACCTCCTCCCAGTCGCTGGGCAGACATGGCCCCCTGGACCTCAGAGTCAGACCATCGCATCTCAGCGCCCCCTCGTCCTCACTGTTCTGGGACCTCTTTCCCTTCCCGCACCTGCTGCGAGGATTTGCTCATCCAGAAGTTAATGAAATTACAAGG